TTTTAAGATTGTCTAATGTGGGCTGGTTTAATGTAATTCTATAAAGAACAATGGGATGGCTTTAATGCACAGTGCTGTGAAAGAGTGATAGCCAGGTATGGCAACAACTACAGAGCAGTTGTGGATACATTTGAAGCAGGTAGCCATGTTTCCACATACTGTAAGCCTAACACAGTTTGGAAGCCTCATTCCCATAAGTAATGATGATATCATTGAAAAACAGTGTTTTGTATTTACTCAGGTTTATTCTTATACGCCCTAGCTGATTGAAACTCTTTCCTCTCCTGCCCTCCTCACGGCGAATAAGTCACTCCACACTTTTCACTGTTCCTGAATCCTCATTCTCTCTGCTTGCCTGGCTGACAAGCTGTCTGGGCTAATTCGTTTGCCTGACTTCTTATGCTTTATCCTGCTCTTTGATGTCACAACTGGGATTTATTTCTGCACTTGTAATGGAGACACTTTGCATTAAAAAAATGCTATTTCTGCTGAGCTCTACTCCTAGGAGAAAATGCTTCAAAAATGTACTGTTGTTTTGCTGCATGCTCTATTCTCACTTCTTTGATCTTTAGAAGCTGGCAGGTAAAATTAAAAATACATCAGGGCATAGCAAACAAGGCTATGGATCAGAATCCTATGAAGGTGGGTAAAGGTTGGATAGGTAATTGACATTTGCTGCTTTTAAATGTACGTAAGTATGTAAGGCTTAGAAAGCATGTACATTGAACCGGACGAAAGGGTCCGTTCCTTTGGAATGGGGTCGCTTGGTTTGTTTATTAGCCTGTAATACCCAATACCTGTCTATGTCTCTGAAAATGGGGTAATTAAAGGGAATTGTTGGCCTGGCTGAACAGGTGAGGTGTTCTATTCCCCAGTAAGGGGGTTGGGGTTGCTGTGACAGCAGGAAAAAATCAACTCAATTGCTGAACTTGAGGTTTATGAAAGCTGAAATCTGAGTCCACCCCCTCTGTTTAAGGTTGGTTTTTCTTTCTTAACATAGATGGCTTCCTTCACGCCCCTCTCAAACCACCCATCTACTCTGTCCAAAATGTTTACATTCTGAACCTCAAAAGAATGTCCTTTGTCCAGTTTAGCAATAGAATTGATTCCTTCACGCTATCATCGCAACCCCTACCCTCTTACAGTGCAACAGAACACCTCATCAACATTAGAATCACACTTTTCTCCTGACGTGTCCGGATTGCATTTACATTCGTCAATACTAACTGATGTGATAAAGTAAGTAAAACTTTCCCCATTGTAACACATTGATTAAAACCTTGGTCAATCACTGATCTGTGGTCTGTGTTAGCAGGCTGCACCACCAGCTCTGAGATGGTTGAGTGGGTATGCAGGCTTGTGTGTGTATGAAGAAAGAAAAGAATCTTTTATTTTGATAACTGACTAACTTTTGATAACATCAATCCACCCAATCCACACACACATGACATACTCATGCACTTTATAGACAGACTTCCATGTTAACATGGGACACAAGCCATACACATAGACAGGGTGTCATGAAGACAACACAAATGCAAAACTAAATAGTTTCACACATGGCCCGTGCTTGTGCTCTAGTGTGTGCACACAGATAAACTCCATGTTAATGTTAGAATAAGGTATAAAATACCCCAGAAAGGGGGTGGGATTTGGGAAGATTGTACCAGTGTGTGAAGATTGTCTTTAACAACATTGTGTTGAAGATAAATGATAAAGATGTCTTCAATTAACTTATAAATAAATGCTTAGTGCTTTGCAGAGGTGGAAGATATAACATTAAGCTCCTGATTAGAAAACATCTCAGTTGTATGTTTAGACTGTCAACAGCATAATTATTTAAAAAAACATAGGCTTAACTTATACTGTAATTTAATGGGATTTAAACAGGCCATATATGTCTTAATTTAATTGACATGACCTGAATTTTCATTAGATTAGTTGGACTGACACTGGCCGAAAAAAAGTATAATTTAAAATTCTTCATGTTATTTATGCGTTGAACCTTTCACTAAAGATAACTTTAATGGGACATACAGTATGTTGTTGTTTGTATTAGTAATGCACCCTGATGATGAGTCTAAATTGCCTGCTTTAACAGTTTGCTAGATTTATTAACATTGATGATCAGAATATATATTTTAAGATTAACATAGCAATAGTAGTATTTTTAAACTAGTCACAACTGTCTCCTCTGAGTCAACAAAGATGTCTCATGTTTTCCTCCATTATTTCCTTTTTAACAGACAAGAACAGTGATGAAAAAACACATCTGATTTCATCTCTTGAAAATCGTGTTCTCTGTCTAGTCTTTCAACATATCAGAGGTTAGACATGGTGGTTTGATAAAATATGCAAACATTTTCAGAGCAGGGTGTTTTTTTTATACTGCTGATATTGTTGGGAATGTTGTTGGGAATGGTTAATAGGCAAATTTGAGCTTTGAGCAAAGGAACAATTCCCAGTTTGCCTTAGCATGTACTGTGTGATTGATTTGTAGCAAACAGAACAGCTTTTGCATTGTGCTTCTAAATGACAGAAATTGGTGAGGACTGTTTTACACCAGTGCCAGAGCAAAGAAAATTCCAGATCTGGCCGTATATGCTGTTTAAAGTCAGATTAACAAGACTACGAATTCATCCACGCATTTTAAACTGCCTGAATTAACTCAAAGTATAGATCAGACCCAGTAAATCCAATCCCAAAGACAACCTGACGTGAATAAATTCTTTATCTATTGCATTACTGTCAGCATAAATGCTGACTGAGATAACCTCTGTGCTGGCAAGATTGGACCTTAGTGAAATGTTTGACAATGTGGATCCCTTTTTATTAGAGCAATTGGTAAACTGGGTTGGTATACACACATACATATATATATATATATATATATATATATATATATATA